CAAGCTTGCTCTCTCTGGCTTGCTCAACTACTTTTCTTCCATAGCCGGGCCGACCTCCCTTTGAGTGGCATCACCCTCAGTAATCTGAACCCTCCTATGTCAATCAGCAATTGAGAAAATCTGGTAGAGGCAATTCTTCAGTTGAGGTCCCCAGGTGACTCCAGGTTAATGCCAAGATTACAGCTGAAAACTATGACAAAAGGTTACACAGAACCTCAAGTGGTAGGATAGATGTCAACTGAGTAACATCACTATGTCAGGATCATGCAGTCTGTAAGAGATGGGCACACAGAAACACAGGGAGTTGCTGTGAAAGCTATCTGTATCTTCATAGCTATAGGTTGGTTTGTTTACTTTAAACACGCTGTCTTGGCAGTCAATCCTATATGCTTCGGATGGAACCAATTTCTAGGAACACATACTAAAGCAATTACCAAATACATGTTGAAAATTAAAAACTCCAAAGCATTTACCACAATTTGGGTGGGGGGGTGCGAAAAATAATATAAATGCAGTCAAAATTTCCCAGCATAAGTGACAAACTAAATGATTTATGGCAGTCTACACAATGCTTAACCTAACAATGTGTAAAAATTTTATGATATTAAGAAGTAGTACTCAAAAATCATATAAAGCATAATTATAATTATAACTAGATTGTAAAATATGTATATAAAACAATGAGGGAAATACAGCAAGGTGTGAAGAATAGTTATATGTAGTGGGGTAATTATGGTCAAATTTATTTTCTTTTCCTTAATATCATACAATCTGTTCATTGATAACAAATCATCATCTTCTAAAGAAATTATTTGCATTGTTCTGCAGAGAAACAACTAGCCTATTTCGGCTTTTGTTTCCCTGCTCAAGAAGAAAACTATATACTAATTCTGCATCAAAGAAAATGACTATCTCCCAGACAGGCACCAAAAGAAGGCTTTCTTGTGGAATTCTGTAAGACACACTTTTATGACTATCTTCACCAAGAATCTCGGGCACGGGCAGTCCAGAATGTCACTAGAAGAAGAATAAACAGCGCAGCAGTTTTAGCAACATCAACACTTGTAAACAGCAGTTCAGTATTTGGGCTGTCCCTATCTCTCTGGCTTGTATTCCATATATCTTTGTCATCTGATTATTTCTTTTAGAGCTTTCTCCATGGTCACAGGATATCATCTCATGAAATATGAGATGATCACAAACCAGTACTCTTAAATCAAAATGTATTGAAAACTGAAAGACCACTGGCAGAGCAAAGCCATGATTTACTGTGAGTTGATTCATGGAGATGGTATGATGGTGTCTAAGTTCAATCAAATATTTCACTCATTGCCTGATCCACTCAGCAGTTCCTAGGGCTCATGGACATGGATACAAAGAACAATTGTACATCCTTGACAGGCAGCAGACTGTCAAGATGTAACAAAGTGACACCTGGAGGCAGGCACATAATTTTGACAAGCCATCAAAGGGAAGGAAAACCAGAAAATGGATCCAAAGAGCATCCTGAAAGTTATAAATGTAAGCACCTTCTTCCTGGGGCCTAGTGGGGAGAACCCAGAAATACTAAGATTGCCTAAGATAATGAAAGCCCAGATTCATTCTTCAAGTACATTATATGATAAACAATAGGAGAATTTGAGGATTAATTATTGTATTGTGCTTTTGTTGAAAGCCTACATTGATCCCAAAACAATGTGCAAACTTGATGTGCACTAGTAAACAAGAGTGTAACTTTCATTTTAACAATATGTTTAAATATATGTTGCGATGCATATATTTTTCAAGGAAACAGAACCCTCAATTCTTAATGCTAATATTCTGTGTGTTGGTTAGGGTTTCTATTGCTGTAATGAAACACCATGACCAAAATAACTTGGGGAGGAAAGGGTTTATTTGGCTTACACTTCCATACTGTTGTTCAGCAGCAAAGGAAGTCAATTCAGGAACTCCAAAAGTATAGGAACCCGGAAGCAGGAGCTAATGCAGAGGCCGTGGAGGGGTGCTGCTTACTGGCTTGCTCTCCATAATTTGCTGAGCCTACTTTCTTATAGAACCCAGGACCACCAGCCTGGGATGACACCACCCACAATGGAATGCATCTTCCCACGTCATTCATAAATTAAGAAAATGCTCTACAGGTTTGCCTATAGCCAGATCTTATGGGAGCATTTTCTCAACTGGGGTTTCCTCCTCTCTGATGACTGTAGTTTACGACAAGTTGATATAAAAGCCTAAGCAACACACACTGAAATACTTTTTAAAATAGGTTTATTTATATTATTTTTGTGTATGAGTGTTTGTATTATGTATGCACACCACATGCATTCTTGGTGCACATGGAGACTGGAAGAGGGTACCAGATCCTTTAAAACTGGAGTTACAGGTGGCTGTGAGATACCATGTGGGTACTTGGAATCCAACCTAGACCTTCTCAAGAGCAACAAGCGTTAACTACAGAGCCATCGCTCCACCCTGTCTATATATTTTCCTAAGACTTACTTATGAGAATAGTTGTTTCCAATCCTACACTCTTAAAGAAGCAGGCAGGGGGCAGAGTGTAACTCAGTGTCCTATCGAGTATGAAGCCTTAAAATGAAGACTGCTCACATCTCAGAGAAACCACTCAATTCAAGTTAGGTGCTGGTGGTGGTAATGATAACATGGGAAGCAAAATGGACTTAAAACGAAGGCTTGGGTTTTGACCCTTAGATCTACCTGATTATTTTGGTAAGGAAGAAATTAGAAAATAAAATGTGATGTTGTGAACCCTGAAGCAATTAAATGATACCTGTGTTTCCTGACAACTTAATATAACCTCACCATGAAGCCATCCTGAGAGCTTTGTCTTTCCCCTCCCCTCTGTCTTCCCCCCCCCAACTCCTCCTCTTTTCAGGTATGTAACTTGAGGCCCAGGATGTGTAGTAACTTTCTCCTATCTGGAAAGTAATATGAATAGAATTTAAACCCAAACAGCTTACTGCAGAAGTAGGGCTGAATATACTGTTTCTTTCTGTGTGTTATCTGTTTATTCTGTCTTGTGGCTCCCAAGTAACATTGGCAGTACACATTTCCTGGAATCACTGAGAAATGACCCTGGAAGCTTGCTCTGTGTAAAATATAGTTACCTGTAGTCACATGGGGCTAGAACAAACAAAAGAAGGAAGGAAGGAAGGAAGGAAGGAAGGAAGGAAGGAAGGAATTTGAGGGAGGGAAGGAGAGAGGGAGGGAGGAAGGAAGGAGAGAAGGCAAGGGAGGAAGGAAGAAAGGAAATGAGTACAAGGCGGGCCTGGGGTCTATTAAGAGCAATGCAAGTCCAGACACTTGGCACATCTTACTGTGGATGTGAAAAAGACAGAGACATCCTTTCTAACCCACAGAACTTTGGTTCATAACAGTAACAACAAAAAGCCCCACCATGTACAGCATAACCTCCTGGGACTACATGGGAAGAAAGACCTTAGGAAAGGTTACACCTCCTGCTGGTATGATAGGAGATACTCAAAGAGCACTGAGGATTGCGACTGTTCTAGTTGGCTTTTGGCCATCAACTTGACATAACCCAGAGAAATCTTAGGGAATGTCAACTGGGAGATTTCCCACTTCAGACTGGCCTGTGGCACACGTGTGACAAATTGTCTTCATCATTAATTGATATGAGAGGGCTCAACCCACTGTGCGCCCTGCCATGCCTTAGGCAGCTGATCCAAGGCTGTAAAAGAAGGTAGCTGAGCAAAAGTCAGAAAGCAAGCCAGTAAGCATCATTCCTCCATAATCCGAGTTTTAGTTCCTGCCTTGATTTCCAGCAGTGGTCAAAATATAAAGTATATTTTTAAATAAAAGTGTGACGTATAATCTGAAATAAACCCTTTCCTCCCCACGTTGTTTTTGGCCAATAGAAAAGCAAACTACAAATGTGGATTTAGTGTGAGGATGATACATGCATTCTCCTCATGGAGAAGCCATAGATGCAGTGGGTGTATCTATAACTACTGTTAGTCTCCCGAGTCACATTACCCTATAAAAACATAAGTGGTAGCAAAGACGTGTCTGTACTAATGCACAATAAAGACACCATTAAATCCAGAATGTGGCTGAAACAAAACGATGGTCACATACTCCAGGGACAGAAAACTCCCTTGCCACTAGCACATATGGCAGAGAGTTGATGAAAAATTTATCCCTATACAACCCTAATTAAATAAAAACATTTAAATGTATGACAAGACACAGTCAAACATTGGGACAGCTGCATGAAATAACATAAAATTTATAAATTGCCTTTCTCATTATATAACCTGGACCTCAGTCCTCACATGGGTGGTTAGAGGCTGAAATTGATCATGTATCAGAATTTCCTACACAGTATGACACAAAATAGTCTCTTTTAAAATGTAAGTGTGATGGTGACTCTTGACCATCAACCTGCTTGGATTTAGAGCCACCTGGGAGACACACCTCTGAGTTTTCCTGTGAATTTCCAGAAATGTTTAAATGAGGTGGGAAGTGCCACCGGAGATGTAGACAGCAGCACCCCAGCACTACGGGGGTCATAAAGTGAATGAAAATGAGAAAGCCAGCTAGGCACACGCATGAATCCTTCTCTGCTCACTGACTGCAGACAAAGTGCGACCAGATACATGGTGCTTCTCTCACCCCAGTTTCCTCCACCTCATGATGGACTAGACCCTCAAACTATGACCCTAAATAAACCCTTCCTTACGTTCTTTTTGTGGCATATTGTGTCAAAACATCAAGAAAGGTAACTAATACACTGAGTGTCTTCCAGTGTCTATTCCTGTTCCCGACCCCCATCCCACCCCACCCACGGCATAGAGGGAGGAAAACAGCCAGTGTCTGAAGAGTTAACACTGTAGCCAACAGCTGGCTCTTGGTGAAGCTCCTCAGGGTAAAGAAGAAGGATTGCCAGGGATGGAGTGCAGATAGGAGTTCAGGACAATGCCTGATAGATGTTCAGAATGAAGGTTGGGGGGGGGGGGAATCTAGCAGAAGAGACACCATGATCTAGAAGGTAGTTTTCTCAGGGCAAGACTCATCCATTGCATTTGGTATGTGTTGACACCTGCCATTTCCCCAAAAGTGGGAAACCTGACTGCATTATTTGTGATAAGGAATTGAGCTGCTATGAAGTGGCTTCAGAACAAAAAGAAAAAAAATCCATCTTTTAAGATAAAACTGGGGCTAGAATGCACTTGATGTTCTTACAGAGAACTCAAGTTCAGCTCCCCAAAATCATGTTAGGAAGCTCACAAATGCCTATAACTCCAGCTCCCAAGGACCTCTCCTAGCCTCCTCTGGCACACACACACACACACACACACACACACACACATGCGCGAGCGCACGCGCACGCACACACACACACAACCAAAACCTTAAATAAAATTAATTTTCTTTTCATTTCCCTTTCTCATGAGCATTGACATAGAAAGACCAAATATATGGCATATTTAAAGACCTCTGCCCTAAGTAACCACAGCTTGGTACTGCTGTGGCTTTGAGCTGATTGAGTGCCTAGCATGCCAGGTTCTAGCCCCAAGACTGTATAAACAGGGTGTGGCCACTACATGATAAACAAGTGCAAATTCTGGCTTAGAACATGAAACCCTCTCTCAAAAACAGAAGAGTAAAAATAAAGAAATAAATTTAAACTAAATATGTTTGTGTTTTACAAGGATTCTAAGGAGAACTTTTAAAAACAAAAGACTTCTCCCTCATGTATCCCAAAGAAATAACCTTCTTTATCTCAAATATGCCCTCTGCATTCCTTAGATACTCACTACCACTACCTTAGTTCAGGCTTTCTGCATCATCTATGAGTTCCTATTATTCTCAATGTTCTGTCTCCATTGGAGCTACGATAACAAATTATCATAGATGGAGTATCATACAAAAAGACATGTTTCTAACAGTTCTAAAGGGTAGATAGTCCATAGCAAAGGTACAGGCAGATCCAGAGTCTTGTAAGAGCTAAGTTCCTGGTTTAAGATGGAAGCTCTCTTTCTCTGTCCTTCCCTGGACAACGGGGGGCAGGAAGCAAGCTCTCTGTGGGTCTTCTTTGAGGAATGCTAACCCCATCATTAAGACTCCCTACCTCAGGACCTAATTGCCTCCAAAGGCTCAGCTCCTAAGAGTATCCACCAGAGGCTCAAGTTTCACTCTGTGCAGCTAGAATCATGATCACGTGTTCTAACAAGTTCCTTCTCCCACTTTTTCTCCTCTTCCATCCCTGCTCCCCTCTGAGTCCAGAGGAATCTTTCATAAACGGTCAGTATACTGCTTTCACAACAGTGGTGCTCTCTTTCTGCCACATAGGCTAGTCCTCCAGGAAGACTTCAAGACCCATCACTCCCTAACTTCCTGCCCCATCACTTGAGAAAGCTCCTCTCCAAGCAACCTACATTTCAATGATGCTAGATACCACATTTGACCATCTCTCCAGGATCCCATCCCTCCTCTACTCTTTAATACCCCAGCTCAGAATGTCACTTATACTTTCAAACCTTAATCTACTCATTTCTCCTCTCCCACACACCCAGGCTTTCCTCCCTCTGAATCAATAGCTCTATGATGTACAAGAATGAGTTGTGTGCCCAGCATTTGGGGTAGCCGTTTGTGGAACTGCAGAGTGAACCCAGGGTCACGTGCATGCTAGGCAAGTACTTCACACACAGCTACACTAGAGCCCTAGCTATTTTTCTCAGCTATGATATAGAATTTCAAAGAGCAGAGAATTTTTCTTTTAAGTCCTTGGGGGCTCTCCACACTTTCTACAATAAAATGAACTTTCCAAAATTATTTATAGACAAGAAAAGAAGTGGGGAGAATGGGAAAGGAGGACAGAGTAGATGCTTGACACTGTCTAGAAGCTGCGGGCACATTGCTCCTCTGTAGGTCACTTGCTCCATTGGCAGGATATAAGTCATAATGCCAGATCTTATTCATGTGGGACTTTAACAAGTGTGAATGGGCTGAAAGAATGACCATAAAAATCCCAATTCTGAATTGAGCCCATGATTATTCTATTTGTTAAAAATATACACTTTTAGAAAAAGAAAATTGAAATTTTTCTCCAAAATTTTTATTCAAAAAGCATTTTTTATCGAATAATGGTATAAATTTAAGCATGCTATAGTTCTAACTCTCCTCCCTTTATTAATAAATTCAGCCATATCAAAATTCAATAAAAGCTGTATAAGAGATTCCTAAGAATCATCCAAATTTGTGTCAGTCATCTTCCTTCCACAAAAGAAGTATTGCTACTAAAGTGGTATTGCATAAAAACAGAATGATAATGTATAGAAATTAGAAATTAGAAAATGCAAAACTGAAATGGTTACAAAATAAAATGTTTCCACAAGTATAAGTTATGAGTACACACAATCAAAGACATAATGGTTAAGAGTGTTAGGTCCTTGTTGAGGGTAACATCAAGTGAGAACTACAAAGACACTGGACAGTTAGTCTCTCCTAAAGAAAATGAAAGGGAAAGAAGAGACTTTGAAAAATGTGTACATGGATAGTCAAGCTCAGACATTATTTCCTAAATATGACTACAGTGGTGGAAACAAACAGTTTGAGTTATAGAAATGTGGAGATAAGAAGCTCCATTGTAAATATTTGAGGACACAAATATTTATTTTCATCATTACTATAAATTTCAATGTGAAAATGGAGGAGAGAAGGAAGAAGAAAGAGCAGAAAAGCACATGTGAGAACGCAACACATACCAGAGAAGATTCCAGAGTACAGTGAGCAATTTGGAGCACAGATCGTAGAGATATAAGCTACAAAATAAATTTCCCTACATACAAGGCCACACAATGTCACCCATATACTTGTAAGAAACCCTGAAAATATATATCCAAGTGTGCTAGAGGAACTGGCTCTCTCAAGGGACCATTGGGTTAAGACTCATTGTTAAGAGTATTTCACAAACAAAAGATGCCACCGTGAAATGGTCCAGTATGAAGTGAGGTTCATTCCCATATGCCACATAATAGCAGGAGTTGCCCTCCCAACAGTTTCCCTCTTACCTCCACCTGAGTTTTGTAATACGGGTGTTCTTGCACACATACAAAAATAAATAAAATAAATATAAATCAATATATAAAATGTAAAAGAGGGAAGAACGGAATCCATTAAAGCTGAGGAGATAGAGATCACAAAGGGGACAAAGCTCTTGGCATCCAAGCATGAAAATGGGAGTTCAGATGCTCAAAACCCACATAAATACTGGCTGAGCCCACCTATACTCCCAGTGCTTATAAAGCCTAGAAACAAGACACCTGAATCAAGCTGGCTAGTGATGCTAGCCATTTCAGAAATGTCTAGGTTTAGTTCAGAGACCCTGACTTAGTGCATAAGATAGAGAGCAATCAAGAAAGACCACTGACATCAACTTCTGGCTTCCATAAGCATGTGAACATATGTACACTCACAACTCTGTACACATTGCTGTACAGCATCATCCTCTGAAATTAAAGTTGTCTACCTTGAAGGGAGTCTTCTTAAGAAAGGGGTGTTAAAAGGGAGGTGAAACAACAGAATACTTTAAGAAAGGAGGCTTTTAAGGAAATAAAACAGACCTTTCTAGTATTCTTTCCAGTGAGATAGCTCATTAAAACAGAAAGTACACAACTCAAAATAGTTTCAGGAAGTCCCTGAAACTGACCATATTCATTAGGTCCCTCCCTCTCTAAGAGTTCATAATCAGTATATAAATGGACTGGTAGTCAGCACAAGAACCCAGATCAGGTTCTTGGCACAAAGGAGATTTATTTGCCCCAGAGAGACAAAGGGCAGGGAATAAGAGACAAAGACAGGGGATAGAGGTTGAGAGAAAAAGCAAGGGAAAGAGGACAAGGGAGACAGGGAAGGGATACTGGTCCCAGAGGCACAAAAGACAGCCTCTGTATAAAGAGGAGACAGATGTGGTCCATACGCCAATGGCAGCTTTACAAAGGTAAAAGGGGAAACCCCATGTTAGGATGAGGTGTTTAATTTTGATTAGACAGGTTGATTAGGGAAGCCAAAGTGGGTGTTGTGGACTTCAATAGTTGGATAGCTGGACACTGATAGTCAGCGTCAGGGGTAGGAAGTGGCCAAATAAAGGGAATAGACCTTGATGGCTAGCTTTAGGAATGTAATGTAAAGGTTTTTAGCAAAGCAGAAGGAATAGGAAATGGAAAGGCCTTCCAGAGCCATGTTTGTCATGTTCAAGGGGTCTCGTGTCCCTTCAGTAAAGATTGTTGAGAGACCCTCAGACCAGACAAGCAGCCTATAAGAAGCAGACAAGATGAGTCGCTCCCTGAAAAAGACACCTTCCACCCTGTTGAGCTGCTGACAGGCTGTGCCCTGTGCTCCAGGCTTGCAGCTTCTTGAGCTGTACCACATGCTGGGTTGGGCTTAGTGATGCAGCTGTCTTTGCATCATTTCTGCTGCTGTCAGTAACTCCTCACCCACATTCCTGAAAACAACTTCAATAAAATCCATTGGTTCCTCATGTTGCGTTTTGGTAGGACCTGCTTTGATCTGTCATGTTTCCCTATCTAGGATTCGTAGATGGCTGTGCAAATCTCCCCAGGAATAGTATGCATACATTTACCCAAACACATGTAAACATGCATATATGCACAGGACACATACATGAAGAGGAAAAAAAGAAAATCACCATGACCACAAGTCACTGTTACTACCATGTCATGCCAGCTTATTCATTCAATCTATCATTTGAAAACCTATTCCCAGTCCCCAAAGCACCTTCACAGACATTTGCCCCTTTGATATGTGGCACTGCCCTGTGCAGAAGATACAGAAGAATGGCCACTATTTACTAAGAAAACAAAAGCTCATGGAAGGAAGGTCATATTTCTAGAAAGAGGCGCACTGAAGGTAAAAATCCAGATATTCTGTCCCAAAACACACAGTGCCCATTTCTACTTCAAGCTGAATAGTTACCAACAGGAAACTTTTATTACTTCAAAACCATTGGCAATGATTTCTACCCACTACCTATTTCCTTCTACCCTAGTTGGCATATTCACTCTTTGAGACAGTCTTCCACAGCCCAGATTGGCCTTGAACTCAATGGGTAGGCAAGGATGCTCTTGAACTTGTGACTCTCCCACCTTCAGTT